GAGAAGCGGCATTCCTTGCATTCTGCGCGTGGACACTTTTAAGGCCCAAAGTGGACACTTTCAAAGGCAAAAGTGGACACTTTGGTGACATGTCATCCACTATAAATAGATTTTAGGAATTAGGGTACGGGACTTTTTGACACTTTACACATTTTTCCTTTGCCAAATTGGGATAATTGCTTACGACATTGGAGTCTTGGGTGACAGCCAAGGGTCCTCTATAGGTTTTAATTTCCAATTTCTCCTTTGATTTTTGTTAAGTTTACATTAATGATGTTTACGTTCTTGCATTTTTTTCTCTCATTTGTGAAGCCCATCCATATGGAGGGCTAAACTTTCTTGTAATTCCTAGTCAATGCACATGAATCTTGAATTCTTGGGATTAATTGCAATACAAATCTTTCTTTCCTTGAATTTATTAACCCCAATCTCTGAATGAAATGGAATTTGCATGAAGGGAACATTGCTTAATGAACCCTAATTTACCTAACGAAATTCTAATTCAAAATTGCTTAATTTTGATTAATCCTTGAGGTTGCTTAATCTTTGGGATAGAGATTGGAGCCCATTAAGATGCTTAATTTTAATTGGGATGTTAAAGTTAGTCTTCGCTTGTTAGATTAACTTAATTCAAGGGAAAGAAAGGGGATTATTGAATCATTAGAAAGAATAATGATAGAACTCATTGCTTGACTAGGGATTACTCATTTTAATTGATCGAATTTCATTAAATTTACACTTTGCTCTTGATTAAAATCTGGAAATTGACAAACCTCCCCCCAATTTACTTGCTTTAAAATACACGTTTACACTTGTTCGATGTATGTTCCCAACCAGAAATTTCTTGGAGACGACCTAGGATAACACCCTAGTACTGCATTCATTTCTTTGCATATTTGATGATGATTAACGACAATCTTTTGCATGACGAGTAGCTAAATATCGTTTCATCAGTTAACTTATAGCTGGAATCATACTCACACTTCAGGTCGTTATAATATTTGTCTTCAACAACTTGTTCAAAGTATTCAAAGAATTGCTTTATGTTAACACTAGCTTTCATAAAAGCTTTGAAATCATAATTTAAGTTTTCACTTAGTTGATTACTTTGTATTCCAAGGGTAAAAACATCCTTGAGGTAACATGATGTTCATTTTTCTTTTGTGGAATAAAGTGAACTAATCCAAGTATGTTCTTGAACATTGTATTCCTATAATCAACCTTCTCAAAGCCTCCTTAAATTCAATTGAAGTATCAAACTTATACATGCATCTTTTCAAATCTCTTAAAAAATGACTTCCTCCTTTTATCACATTGCCAAGGTGTTTTATTCCATTTTACATTAAGTGCAATGTGCATAAAACATAATGTGTCTCAGGCATTACTTAGATAAGTGCCTTGATCGTTGCTTGATCTTGGTTTGTAAAACTTATTTTTTTTATTGTTGTTGTTGCTGTCATTTCTTTTCATTTAAAAATGATTTCAAAACTTTATAAAAGTTTTTGGTTGTTTAGATTATGTCTTTCATGTCTTTTCATTTGATACATGTTGTTGTTGTCTCTTTATTGCATGTTGTTTGGATTGTGATATGTGCATGTTGTCTCCTTTACTACATTCCTGTTGTTTGTGTTGATAAATTCCCTTAAGTGAAATGAATTTGCTTACGTAAATTTTTGCTAGAATAAAAGGTCTTAACGGAGACTAATTCGCTTAAGCCAATATAATTTGCTTAAGCGAATTAGTCTCGCTTAAGCGAGTATATTTTGTTTAAGCAAATATATTAGAAATAATGTGTCTATTTTTCCCTATTAGTCAACTTAACTTTTCTAAAATTGTGCATCATTTTATTTCAAGATGATGCCTAAAAAGTATATTTCTCAAAGAAAAAGAAAAAAGCCTAAAGTTGGCCAAGGTTCCAAACAACTTAAGGAACTTATTACCAACACCAATCCAATCATAACCTATGCATGAATAATGGGATAAATTAAAGTTAAAAAATAAGGGTAAGTTTTAGAGATTTCTTGAAATGGAGTCAAGAGAATTGCTACATGAGTAGAAGGTGGTCTTAGAGGAAGGAGAGTGTGAAGATTTTAGGCTAGACATAATAAGAAGAAAATGAAAATTCTTGGAAAATCTTCCAACCAAATTGATGAAGACATTGTCAAAGAATTTTATTCAAATGCATGGCCATTGCTACAAGAGAACAAGGAGAGAAAATCCTGAGTTCAAAGGCACACAATGGCTTATGATAGGGAGGCTATTTTTCTCTATTAGGTAAACCAACTCTCATCACTCCTCTTAGTGCTTTCAAGGTGTTACCATTCCCAACTACTCCAACCAAACAATCAAATTGAAGAAACTCATCAATGCCCACTTCATGAAAAATTACTGCACCAACCTATTGAAGTATCCTATTGGACCTTTTTATCAACCCTCCTCATCTGTAGCACCATCAACACAACCATCACCATCACCATCCATGCCTTATATGACACAAATGGATTTGTATGTCATATGACATCTCACTCATATAGAGTAGCAAATGGCAACAAATAATTGAACGTACACACAATTCAATGAAGCTTTCTACTGGTCAATCTTTTTTAAATTGTTACTTTATCATAACTCTCTTCTCTCTCCAACAGGTTCACACTGCACAAACATCATGGAGAACCTTGTTCTTTTCTATGACCTACACCTAAAGTTTTTACAGCAACTATATCATGGCCTGAAGATAGCCTTACCTACCATCTAATATAGGATCATGTGGTAAAAATAAAGAAGAGAGGTTAGGAGAACATTGATAGAAATAAAGAAAGAGATGGAGAATAGGGTCAAGAAGTAAGATAGGATGAGGATCATGCTAGAAATAATAAAAGTGATCATATTCAACCTATACAAGAGGAGTAGTATGTGTCTGACATAATCATTATAGATACCTGAAAATTAGGACAATACTTGTTTTTAATTTCAAATATTTGTAATAGATTACAATTGTAATTTTTCATTTTGAACCCCTATACTTTCCTTATATTTCAATGAGATTTTCAAATTGCTTTAATATGTTTTCCTTATCCTATTTTGCATATTGAATGTATTTATCTATTGTGTTTTCCTTTTATTAATAAAAATATGCTTTCCTTATATTTCAACTTTGACTTTGCATGTTGTCTGCATTAGCATAATAATTACATTTTTTACATTATTCGCTTAAACAAATTTTAATTCACTGCATTTTAATTAATTTAGCTTTAAGTAATAACAAAATTTGTTTAAACAAATCAATTTTTGCTTAAGTGAATGACAGAATTTTTAATCATTACTCTATCTTAAACTCGTTTAACATTAATTAAATTCTTTTAACTTGATTTCAGCAATCTTATTTGACTTAGAGGATACTTAAATAAATGATAGACCTCAAATCCATTATTTTTTATCCCAAATTCGCTTTAATTTTAATGTTTTTTTTAGACGTGCTTATACGAAAGCAATTTCGCTTAAGCAATTACTTTAAGGCTTTTTTTTTTTTTTATCTCTTTTAAGTGAGATTTACACGTTATCAAGCGAATATTTTATCTCTTAAAATAAAGTTTTCGTTAATTTAGCAAATTTTACTAATCTTCATTTAAGCGAGGCAAAAATAGACCGTTGAGTCATATTCCTACCTAAATTGGAAAAGATATATATCCCAAATATATTCTCTTCAGAAAAGCAAAAAGTACATTTTGTAGAAGTGGAGCATTTGGGGCACGAAACTAGTGTATAACCATTAACCTTTCATATCTCGTCAAGGTTTGATGTCAAGTGAGATGTTACAGAGATAATAAAAAAATGACGATGGTCGTTACATTATAAATAACACTGCCACTTTCTATGGCTATGGCAACGACGGCTATAAGGATGCGGTGGCGAAAATGCAGAAAAGGTTCATGCGATCGGTATTGATTTAGATCCTCTCCTTTTCGGCTAAAAACAAGGACGTGCTCTTTTATCAATGACACACTATTCTAATAAATAAGCATTTTCTGTTTTAAATTTCACACTTCAACATTCTCTAAGCCACACCGTTCCTTTTTGCTTACAATTCAAGTCTACGAAAAGGCTGCAATTCTTCTTTGGCACCACGGGCTTTTCTTATATTCATTTATTTGGCTTCTAATTTAGATTGGAACTTGTATTTTATTTATTTAATCAATAAATTAAAATATTGTAATTTTTAAAATTTAACCTTTTAAAAATTATTTAAGATACATGTCTCACTTTTAAAAATTAAATTTTTCTTCTATTTCTTCTCCTTAAATATATTTTATATTAAAAAATATATGACAGAATATTTTGTGTTAAAATATATATGAAGAGAAATTTTTTATATAATATTTAATTAATTCATTATAAACAAATAAAATAAATAATAACTAATTTTAATATTACATTAATATAATATTATATGTCATTTTAAGTTATTTAAAATAAATTAACTAATTACATAACTAGTTATCAAATCATTTTAATTTTATAAATTACTTATATAATTATAAATTTTTAACTATAAATTCTGAACTTTTACTTTCTTTCAAAACTTAGAAGCTAGCTTTCAACTTGTTTTATCCAGCATAGTTTAAGAGAGAGAGAGAATAATGAAAGGATGTTAGCATGCGAAATTATAAACGATGGATACATGTTTATCCAAAATCCTGTGGTTAATATTGGTGCAATGTGTCTCTGGTATTATTAACGTGTTAAATGCTGAAAGATGAAGAAAACAGAAAAAAAGGGTAAGAAGGGAGGGTATGTGGGGATGTGGATGTGGATGTGGATGTGATGAAGTATACTAACTCAAAGGTTGTCGTTTTATGGAACTAGTCAAAGGTTGAGGCAGTTGTGTCACTTCAAAAACCGTCCAATGATGCATTGTTCCGCCTACATCTTATCCTACTCACTCACACCCACGTCGGTGGCACTATCATAATATTTTGATGACCCAGTGGCATTTTTACTTTACACGTCAACTTATTCAACCACACTTGCGTTACATCCTTCTTTCTTTCTCTTTCTTTAATATTCAGCTAATCAAAACACAAGTCATCATCAAGCCAAAGCTCTCTGTCAGACAGGTTGCGTGAATTCCCAGGTACCCTCCATTGTGTATGTTGCACCATACCCTTTTTTTTTATGTTGGTCATATTTGTTTGCGTCTCTTTTATTTTATTTTCTTTTCTTAATTATGTTCTTTTTCTTTTCTGTGTTTTCTTATTATATATGGATTAGTGGAAGTGTAGATGTTTAGGGAGTTGGCCTTTTTGGAGTGGATGATTATGCTTTGATTGAAACTGCCTTGAAAATTAGTTTTATTTATATTTTGTTTCTTATGGTTGTGGAAGAGCTTGTGTCTTGTCTAGTTCAATCATTGAATATATATGATATTTTGAGGAGTACTAAAAATATGACTATGTGAGTGATTGACTATTCAAGTCGGCAGAAGAAAATCTGTCTTTCTTGAATATTTGGCAGTTAAGGAATCCACTGCAGAAGATTGAGGAGTTTGGTTGTTGATTCTGTCCTGTTTTATTGTATTATATGATCATGTGTATCAACTACTGTGCTTTACTTTTGAAGCTTTTTGGCATTCATCGATTATAGGCACTGTTTAATTGTGAAATCATGTAAATGACAGTTCTTTGATGCAGATTATGGTTGATGTTTGCAGGGGAAATAACATAACCAGGTGTGTGGATAGGATTTATCGAAAATTGGGAACTGCATCCAAATTCAGAACGAGGAGATGGGATCTGAAGGGCCAAAGGCCATTACTATTCATGTAACTGGATTTAAGAAGTTTCAGGGAGTTCCTGAAAACCCTACAGAGACCATTGTTAATAATCTGAAGAGTTATGTTGAAAAAAGAGGTCTCCCTGCTGGTGTTACTCTTGGGAGTTGCATTGTGCTTGATGTGGCTGGGGAAGGTGCAATTCCTCAGCTATATCAGACCTTGGAATCTGCTTTCTCCAACACAGATACTGTGAGCAATGCAAATGTTGCATGGGTTAGTTTTTTCCCCCATTTAGTTTCTTGTAATATTAGATTTCAAATTCTTAATTGAATTATTGATTATGATAGACTTGAAGAGCATTTTACATTTACTATTTTCTCCACGTGTCTGGTAGACTCGTGAATGGCCTTAGGAATGGAGTCTTTTCATTCAATGCCGTGTAATCTGCAGCGTTTTGCTTCTACCATCACATTAATGCTCTGCAGTTGCTGCCAAACATGATAGGACTTTAGCTGAATGAGAAATTTTCTTTCACCTTTGCATTTAATACCTTATTTGGTTTTATTTTGTTTTTCTCCATCTGTTTTCTATCTGTTGCAGGTAAACTTGTCATTATAGCCATAAAATATGATCCTATTTTATGAAATCATTTTTTCTTTCATGTCAGTGGAAAACCAATTCTCAGTAGATATTTGAATAAAAAATTTCTTCTCCTGCGTTAATGCTTCAGCTTCACTTGGGGGTGAATAGTGGGGCTCTAAGGTTTGCCATTGAGCGCCAGGCAGTGAATGAAGCCACTTTCCGTTGTCCAGATGAGTTAGGATGGCAACCACAGGTGAATCTTGATCATGATCATGCTTTTGAAACCTACAAACTTTTCCTTTATGTTTTGAAGAGCACTCCTATGATTTGCTTGACCTATACTCATTTATTATTCTTTGTTTTTCAATTTTCTTTCTCAGCAAGTCCCAATAGTTCTTGAGGATGGAGGAATTTCTCGAACAAGAAAGGTAAATTGCAATCACTTTAAAGTTGTCCATTACATGTTGGAGTGCACTTTATTGGACTAATTCTTTTAAAATTGTCAATCACTTTTAAGTGTTCACAACCAAAGAAAGCTAGTAGTTAAATCTATTGAAGGAAAATATTCCCTCAGTTCCATGCCATCTTAGAAAGAGTAGAAAGACAGAAAGAATAAATGAATAGAAGGAAGACAAATACAAACACTTTTATTGGGTTATGTTAGCCTTAATTAACGTGTATAGCATATGATTGATGTTGTGAAATCCAAATGCCATGGAGGGTTGTATTTTGATTGCCTGTAAAATAACATGCACTATGCCTTTTTTAAGTCTTGTTTTTATTTCCTAACTTTTTCATTGTTTGTTGAAGACTTCTTTACCTGTTGGTGCAATCTTGAAATCCTTGAAGAAGGGAGCTTATGATATGATGATATCAGATGATGCAGGACGGTTTGTTTGCAATTATGTGTATTACCACTCCCTGCGATTTGCAGAACAGAAGGGTAACAAGTCTTTATTTGTTCATTTCCCCCTATTTTCAAGAATTGATGAAGAAACCCAGATGCGATTCACAGCCTCTCTTTTGGAGGCCATTGCTTCTGCATGTTAATGCAATATTGATTGAAATGTGTACAAGAATTGCCGTGTTCAATTGCCATTTGGTTGTGCATGTAAATCATCTTTCTCAACAGCAATGTAAATTATCAAGCAAAGTATGGATGTACTATAAAATTGTTTTTCTTCCTTTTTTGTTTTTCAATAAGTTGAGTGATACAGTTGTCTCTAGCATTTCATGCGTGGATATTTCTTAAACTCTGTTGATTCGCTCTTAATTGCCAAAAATCTATTTCAATGTCAATTTTTAGGTGTTATGCTTATATTTTAATACTATGTAAATTTCACACCAATATGCATGTTAAAGCAGTTTTAGAGTGCCAGAAACATAGTCTTTAATACACCCTTTAACACAGTTTATTATTAGTTAAAATTTATAAAAATTATAGAAATATATGTGAGAATTATTAAATTATGAGTAAAATTCATATAATTTTTGTAATTTTTAATAATTTTAGTCCAATGTTTACAAAGCATGGTGCTGGTAATTTTCTTTCTTTCAATTGCAAGGAAGTGGAATAAGTTGGGTAGCTATGTCATGAAAAGGTTTTGATTGGTGCCAAAGTGAGCATGCGTGGGATTATCTTCCAAGCACAGTAAAGGATGATCTGCTTTTCTGCTTTTGTGTTGTAATGTATTTTGAAGCTTATTTAAATTTTATTGTGTCCAAAGGAAACAACTCGCCAAGTTGCAAACTTTGCAAGTGATATTGGATTTTCTTTTACAAGTGAAATTTTTTATAGCATAGATATGAAATGGATATAAATAAAACAAGTGATCATAAGTTATATAATTAATTATTTACTATTACGTGGCTGAATTCACAATTTTTAATTTGCCAATTTACTTGCGTTTAACAGTGTCTTAGCTTAATATTTAAAAAAATCTCCCAAAAGAAGTACAAGGGAATTATTTCTATAGTCATTTTTCAGATAATAGTGATTGTTTTACTTTGTCCTTTAATCATATTACATGAAACCTTTTTATTTAAACATATTTTTAATTTTGATTTCTTTGCAAATCTTTCATTTTGGTTCTTTCAAATGGTTTTAGGTTTATTTTAGTCTTTATATTTGTAAGTTTTTGGTTTTATCTCTCTCAATTATTAGTTCTCTGCGGTATCATTTAATAATCGTCAATGATAAAGAAAATATAAAATTTAGAAAAATTTAAGACAAACTTTTTTTTTAAAAGAAACTAAAATTCACAGCTCACAAAAATATCGATATAAAAAGCGTAGTTAAGCTAAAAATTTTCTTTTACTTGAATCTTTACAAAAGATTAAAGAGTACTTTTTATTTTTGGAATGACAACCTTAACCAAGCATTAGTAATGCACAAATAAATTCTCTCATGCTCAAATTTTACATAATGTATAAATTTTGTATTAATCTCTCACTTAATATATATTGAATAAATAAAAACTTATAAAAATTGACAAATTGATTAATATCAACCTTTGAAATAAAATAAGAATTCAGGATAACTATATAAAAATATATATATATATATATATATATATACATATATATATATATAAACAAATATTGTATTAAAATGTAACATAGTTGTTTTTTTTTCTAACTTTCAAACATCAATTATGAAAACATTTTAATAATCATATTTACCTCGTTAATTTTTTATTTTTATTTAATTATTATCCCTATTGTCACTGTTATTTATTCTATTTTATTATTGTAACTAAACGTTAGTATCGAAAAAAGAATCTATTTGATTGAGATTTGAAAGTTAAATGAGTAAAATGAAGTAAAAAGAGTTAAAAGATTGAACTAAAATAAATAAATAAAGTTAGACAACCAAAGTAAAAAAATAAAAATTAATAGGCAAGACTAAAATACTAATTTTATGCAAAAAAAAAAGAAAAAAAGAAAAAGAATCACATGTTCCAAAATTAGTTTATCTATTTAGAACCATTGAAATCATAAGTAGGGAGTTTAATTTTGTCATCCCACTTTTTACTTTCTAAGTACATATGACAATGATTTTTCTTTTCTTATGCATCATTCAACGTACATAATGTCATCATCTCACAATAACATTAAAATGTAGCTTTTATTCTATATTTCTATTGAATCACCTCTTAAAGTCATTGTGTTTGTGTTTAGTAGAAATCGTTCATCTAATTTTTCACTAATCCCTTTTTGTCATCGTAATTGAGCATCTATTTATTTTTTATTGAATTTGTAAAAATATAATTTCATAATTATAATTTACATGCTTATAGAAATTAAGATTGTGAAATCAATTTTTTTCATTTTCAGAATTTATGCACTTATGGGAACATAATTTCATAATTATAATTTACTAGTTTCCAAAAATCATTTTTATACTTTTAAAATTTAATTTCTAGAAACATAATTACAATATTTTTAGAAAAAAATAAACAACATTTTAAAAAATAAAAAAGAAATGCAAAATGTCAAAAAAGAAGGGCACAAAAAGTAATCTCTTATAAGTAGAGGACGCAAAATGTTAGTCCAACAACTTAGCCAACACATTAAACTTGTTAGGCAAAAAAAAAAAAAAAAAAAAAAAAAAAAAGAGGTATACTTATGTGGAACTTAAAAAATAGAGGTTCAAATTAAACTCAAATTAATATTTTATACTTAAATAGATAATATTAACTTAATTAACACCGTATATTATTCTTTTTATCTTTCACTTCATTTTTATTTGTTATCTATACAAATATTTCAAATATTTATATATTTATCAAGCAATATTTTCCTTTTTGTATTTTACTTCTTTCTCTTCCCATGAAAACAAAGTGTTAGTAGTGTTCTTAATTCAAGCTTGAAAATGCGCGCGCAGCTCCACAAAATTCCAATGTGTGAGTCCAAGATTCTGGTTTCAACACTGAAACCATGGTGGTGGAAACAAAAGCCTCAACTACAGTCTTTTATCAGAGCCATAACAATTCCTACACCTACGCTAACAATGCCTTCACACGCGTCGCTTCCTCTTCACAATGCCACCAGCAACTATATCCTCATGAAGAACCGCGAAATCGATGTTTTCATAAAATCCAGGAACCTGAACGCTGCACTTGCAGTTTTCCATAACATGCCACTGCGTGACACTGTCACCTATAACCTGATGATTTCCGGGTTCTATAAACAACCCGAACATGCTCTTCATCTCTATGCTGAAATGGGTTTGCTTGGAATAAGAGAAAGCTCAACCACGTTCTCTTCTATTATAGCGGTTTGCACCAATAAAGAGTTTTTTAGAGAAGGTGTTCAGGTGCATTGTAGAGTGCTCAAGTTTGGATTTTTACGTAACGTGTACGTTTGTGGTGCACTTGTTGGGTTTTACATGCACGTGGGGCTCAGTGGGGTGGCACTGGAGTTGTTTGATGAGTTGCCAGAACGAAATTTGGGTGTTTGGAATGTGATGTTACGTGGATTATGTGAAATGGGTCGTGTTGAAGTGGAAGATTTGCTTGGATTTTACTCTCGGATGTGTTTTGAAGGTGTGGAGCCAAATGGAGTTACGTTTTGTTATTTGCTTAGGGGGTGTGGTAATCTGAGACTCTTGCATGAAGGGAAGAAGCTTCAAGGTTGCATTTTGAAGATGGGTTTGGTGGAATCGAACGTTCTCGTTGTTAATAATTTGGTGGATTTTTACTCTGCATGTGGGTGTTTGGTTGGTGCAAGGAAGTGTTTTGAAGACATAAAAGTTGAGGATGTTATTTCATGGAACTCGTTGGTTTCTGTTTATGCTGAGAATAATTTGTTGTTTGATGCTTTGGAGTTGTTTAGTGTTATGAAAGTGAGGGGGCACAGGCCATCCGTTCGTTCATTGGTGGGTTTGTTGAATTTGTGCAGTAGAATTGAAGAACTTTGTTTAGGGAAGCAGATGCATTGTCATGTTATGAAGATGGGTTTTGACGAAGGGAGTGTGCATGTTCAATCTGCTTTGATTGATATGTATGGAAAATGTAGGGACATTGAGAGTTCTGTGGCTGTGTTTGAATGCCTTCCCAAAAGAACTTTGGAGTGTTACAACTCATTGATGACCTCTTTGTCTCACTGTGGTGCCATTGAAGATGTGGTGGAATTATTTGGTTTAATGGTTGATGAAGGTTTCATGCCAGATGAAGTGACATTCTCCACCACAATTAAGGCTTTGTCTGCTTCAGCAAGCTTCACGAGCTCTCAGTTACTGCATTGTTATGCATTAAAATCTGGACTTGAAGGAGATGCTGCAGTTGCATGTTCCCTTATGGATGCATATTCAAGATGTGGGTATGTGGAACTTTCTCATAATATTTTTGAGACCCTTCCTTCTCCAAATGCTATTTGCTTCACGTCTATGATCAATGCATATGCCCGAACTGGGATGGGAAAAGAAGGAATTGCAGTGCTTCAAGCTATGATTGAGAAGGGTCTAAAACCAGATGAAGTTACCTTCTTATGTGCATTAACGGGGTGTAACCACACAGGACTAGTTAAGGAAGGAAGAATAGTCTTTGATTCAATGAAATCTCTTCATGGGGTTCATCCGGATCGCCGGCATTATTCATGCATGGTGGATCTTTTATGCCGTGCAGGACTTCTACATGAAGCTGAAGAGTTGCTGCTACAGGCAGCAGGAAAGAGAGACTGTTCTATGTGGAGCTCTTTGCTAAGAAGTTGCAGGGTCCATAAGAATGAAGAGGTTGGAACAAGAGCAGCACAAGTACTAATTGAGCTAGACCCAGATGATCCTGCAGTGTGGTTGCAAGCTTCAAATTTTTATGCTGAAATAGGGAAATTTGATGAGTCAAGGCAAATCAGAGAGGTTGCTCTAGCAAGGAAGATGACTAGGGAGATTGGTCGTAGTTTAATTGAGATAAGACAGTGAGTGATTAAAATAGAGTTCCTGAATTGAGGAAGCATTCTAGCCCATTATTCACACAAGATTAATAATCATGCTATATTTTGCTGTGCTGATGATGTTTCCTGAGATGGTAAGGTCTTGTCTATTTGGGCTATCCTACAATCTAAGGGAAAGGTTTCTTTTGCAAGGTGTTTTTGGTGGACATGCCAAGAAAGTGAGGGTCGGCATTTGTGTTCCCTTGTTTGGTATAACTAACTGACGGCTTCCAAAAATAGCAAAATAAAAATTCCCCCCTTTAATTTGTCACATTGTATTATGCCTTGTACTACGCAATTTGAGATATATTGGAATATGCAACAAGACTCTTAGATTATATGTCATTCATTTCTCTTTCAGGGTGGCAAAGTGGAGATAGTGCAACGGTGACTATTACTTGTGACTTTTGTAATTGGTTGATGAGTAAAGCAAAATACTACAAAAAAAATAAATTTCCTTGTACTTTAAGTGTGGGCATGTAGAAAATGTTACACATTCATCCACTTTCAAGCCAAGCCATAAAGCCACTCCAAATCCTTCATTTTTCGGAGTTAATCTATTCGTATAAATTATAACCAAAGTATTCATTCTCATTAATCAAATCAACCAATCCTTGCAATACAGCCAAGGGGGGCAAAATATGGACAAATTCTTGTTGATTTCCTTACTTGGTTTGCTGATTGTGGCTCATGGAGTTGCAGGTAGCATGAAGTGTGACAACTTTGATATGCTTGAAGAACTTAAAAGCCTGGAGGACCTGGACATTGATGAAGAGACTGAGGTAGAACTCTCCGACATTCCTTCATGGAGAAGTGAGCGCGCCGGAAAGGTTCTTGTGAATGTTGATAGCTTTGGTGCTGCTGGAAATGGAGAATCTGATGACACCGAGGTAAGTTCTTTCATTATTATTATTGAGGCATACCTGAACCTGCAAATGCATATAATTGTTTGAGGTCCTTTGTTTTGCTCAACATGTACTTCACACAAAGTATGTTTGAGTTCAATCATCGTGTATTTCCAATTCATATTTAAAATATTTTAATTAAAATACAGGGCCAGTCTATAATATAAGCTATTGTATACTATTACACAATATTATATTATCTTATAATTGAAAAATTGAATTTTGTAATAATTATTTTAAAAATTATTTTTAAGATGACTTATAATTATTAGTATACATAAAATAATAAGTTATGTATGACAAATTTTTATTAAAAATTACAAAATTTAATACAATTCAATGCATTAACATATTAAATGTTATATTTTTTTTATAAAAGTTTACTGTATATAAATTTTTAATCATGTACAATATTTGCACAGGTTAAAAAAATCTAAATATTTATAGTGAGAATATATAAAATTAAACTCCAAGTAAATCTGTTTAAATTTTTTATCTGAAATTTTGAATTAATTATTATACACCTAAATGATTCTTAATTTTTGGTCTACACCCAAATCAAAATAATTCACCAATTTTTCAGATAAACAATGTTGAACATAGGCAAATCAAATGAGTCTGATCAGGCATCATTAATTGACCAGACTAATCACTTCTAACAATATTTTGTTCATTCTCATTCCTGCTTGTGTGATTATCAGGCTTTCCAAAAAGCATGGGAAGTTGCGTGCTCTACACCAAAATCTGTTCTATTAGTTCCTCAAGATCGCCGTTACCTAGTTAATGCAACAAAATTCAGAGGGCCTTGTGCAGACAAGCTAATCATCCAAGTAATCAAACACACAAATATTTAGAATTATAGATTTTATAGTTTCAGTTTTATTCATTAGTCCTATGGTTATTGACCTAGTGTCTGCATTTCCAGATTGATGGAACATTGGTTGCACCAGATGAGCCTAAGGACTGGGATCCAAAACTGCAACGAGTCTGGCTTGATTTTTCTAAATTGGAAAAAGTTGTTTTTCAAGGTAATGGAGTTATTGATGGCTCAGGAAGCAAATGGTGGGCAGCATCTTGCAAAAAGAACAAGTCAAATGTAATTTTTCAAAAATTGGTCTTGGTTATTTTGCAAGCTTACGAACACTTACAATGCATACAAAATTTAATAACTTTCTGATTCTGCTCCTATTCTTTGTCACAGCCTTGCAGAGGTGCACCAACGGTAAGAACCACTTTCTTAACCATTTTTGTCTTCTATATTTCAAGCAGAAGGTTTTGCAAGATGGGTAAGAAAGATTAGCAAATAATAGTATAGTTTGATTAACTTTGAGGGGTAATTGCAGGCACTAACCATTGATTCAAGCTCAGCTATAAAGGTGAAAGGACTAACTATCCAGAATAGCCAACAGATGCATTTTACCATATCACGATGTGATTCTGTTAGAATTAGTGGCGTGAAAGTATCAGCACCCGGAGACAGCCCAAACACTGATGGAATTCATATTAGTGAATCCACAAATGTCATAATCCAAGACAGCAAAATTGGAACAGGTTCTGAACTTGGTGTTCTTTCTCAATTTATGTTTCATTTTGCTGAACGATAGAAACAATAATAATGGTTTATCCTTGACTTCGATTCACAGAATAGCAACTTGGAAAAGAAATTTAAATCCACACACAAAATAAAAAAAGAAAAAAAAGGGCCCTTATGCTAAGATTCTACAATAATTGCTTGCAAATCCATGCTTCTAGAAAGGATTATTGAGTGAATTGTTCCAGAAATAGACATTAAGAGGAAAAGATACTGACCATTTGTGTTTTGCAATTTCATAATGTACTATTATATTCAGGGGATGATTGCATATCAATTGTCAATGCTAGCTCCAATATCAAGATGAAGAGAATTTATTGTGGACCAGGACATGGAATCAGGTATCATCTAAGCTTCATGCCTCCATTTAATTTAAAATTATATAGGCTTTGGATATAAGTAACAATATATAAATCGAAAGTTTATTGAATAAGGACTAACTTTAATTAATTGAAGGTCCCACAAATTAAAATTGATAAAAATAAAACTCTATCTTTTTCTTTTAATATGACCACGCCAGGTCAATAAAAAACATTAGATGATCCGAATCCAAATTCTACGTCATTATCTGATTGCTAAATTAAAATTTGTGTATCTTGTACCATTTTACGTACATGCCCGAAAATTTTCATCCACTCAATTTATATTACAATTTTTTTTATTCTAAAATCTGTACCCTGTAACTTGATTTTGCAAATATTATGTCACTTGAACAAATATCTATTGATATCTTGAGTGGAAAAAAGAAATTGATGCCACGATTCCCACCCCCTTTTCTTTAGGAGAAGCGTTGGTTGCATGAACCATACACGATGAGTCATTATTTTAATGTTTACGTTAATTTATTATTTCCTTTTCAATTCCTAGATAAACCCAAAGTTAAAAGAAGAAATTGGATCTCTTTCTGGAACACCCTTTTTTGAGTAAAGTAGTTTTTTACCTTTTCTAACTCTACTTTATTTGTTCAGCATTGGAAGCCTTGGGAAAGACAACTCAACTGGGATAGTCACGAAAGTTATTTTGGATACAGCAGTTCTTAGGGAGACTACCAACGGTGTCAGAATTAAGACTTGGCAGGTAATATTATTCTCAGATCTCAATCTCTATAATTTTTTTATTGGTTAGTTAAATTAATAATAATAATAATATTTAAATAAAAAATTAAATGAGGTGTGATGACAGACACTTCCATAATCCTATATATTAAGAAACAAGTTATCATAATAGTATTTCTTTTAAGCATTATATGAATCTAACTGAATCTGAGGATAACATATAATTAGATTAAAATAAATGGATTTTCAGAAACAAAGTCTCTTAAACTATTTTTATATATTTACTGTTTATATACTTTTATTATTAGTTCTTTACATTTTTCCTGTGGGCTGGGTGCCATGGCACTGCTTTCAGAATAAACCTTGGTAAGGAAAAAGATGGATCTCAGTATCTGCCAAAATTAACAATTTGTCTTTACTGTTGTTAATAGTCCCATTAAAAGTTGTGTTTTTGTTTTATTTCGTTGTCTACTTTTCTAATATTCTATTCTGTTTTATTTTAGAAAGTACATTAAATATAAAATAAAATTTATATGTTCTGTTTCGTTCTATTTAATAGGACTACCAATTACCAAACAATTATGTGCAGGTGGGCTTGATATGGCAAGGGAAGAAAGGGTAAATCAATGTGACTGAACCATACATGGGCAAGGCCATGGATTCAATTAGCTGTATTTAGATTTAGGAGCTTCACAGTCATTGAACCAAAACAAGTTCATTGTAAATGGAACCATAATTGTTTTAGTATAAATATAATATGCAAATATATATTTAATAAATTTAGTATGGAAAAGTTCCCTGCGTTGAGATTTCATAATTCGGGCATTATTTCTAACTTAAGTTCAAAATTTGTGAAAATTGCTGCATTGGAGAATGACCAGAGATCTTTAATTTTTTCTTCTGCACGTAGGGAGGTTCTGGGTATGTTCGAGGAGTTCGTTTTCAGAATGTGAGGGTGGAAAACGTATCAAACCCCATTATCATAGATCAATTTTACTGTGATTCGCCAACCACTTGTCAAACCCAGGTACAATCTCCCCTGTTTTCTGGCTTTTTCAATTTTTTATTTACTTAATTAAATGTAAGTATAGTGGTGGATATAAGATATCTTGTATCTAATAAAAATAAGAGGATTAAACATGGATTTAGATAAATAACTTAATTAAATATCTCCTTATTACATAAACTTGATAATAAAGTATATTGAAATATGTTTGTTTAAAAAATAGGGTCTGACTGTTTTATAGTTCAAACCCAAGCAAACTCTGTCATGGAAAGCGAAAACAAATCATTATTGCTACATAGATCGTGATTTGTTCATTAGCACACAGCCATTGATTTTCATCTTCGAAATCAATTTTGAAGTATCCAACTTAGAACCAAACTAACATTTCTTAAATCAGAGCTGATTTTGTATTTGATAGTGTTCTAAATTTTCTTCCACATCTCCTAATTATTAAAACATTAAGTAGAGAACCAATAACTGTGATAAGGACAAGATAACTAATACACGATTTTAAAAGGTTGAATAAATTAAGTGCCATAGATCTAGAGTGCTTTATTTTTTTCTTAAAATATTTTCATGTGAATTATTTCTAAAACATTGTCTGGAATGAGTGATAAAGTGGAACCACTTATAACAATAGTCTTATGAACTGTTTTATATATGAATTTGTCAGACATCAGCTGTGGAAATAAGTGAGGTTATGTACCAGAACATAAGTGGAACAACAATGAGTGCAAAGGCCATTAAATTTGATTGCAGTGATACAGCTCCATGCAGCAACCTAGTCCTTAGCAATGTGGACTTGGAGAAACAAGATGGCACTGTTGAAACATATTGTCACTCAGCTCAAGGCTTTGGCTATGGGGTGGTGCATCCTTCTGCTGATTGCCTCAATTCCAATGACAAAAATTCTCAAATTGAAGAATCAACTATGGAGGAAGATATTCGTCACACTGAACTATAAGTTTGCTCTCTATAGATGCATTATACAATAACCCTTTTATTATAATTTTATATCATACGGGGAGGTAAATGGGTCTAAGTAACAGTAGAAGCCATATGCTGAGGAGGTTTGAGGTGAGGTAAGAGACAAATCAAGGGATGCATTATTGTTTATTAAATAATTAGAAATTACACTGAAATTTATTCCAGAAAGAATGATAATGTAGCTGATGCCATCAGCATTGATGAAAGAAAAGAAACACATCAATTTTATAATATTGATTGAGTTTTTTTTTTTTAATTAAATCTTAGTATTTTGTTTATATGGTGACATGTTATTCATCATCTTTAATCGGGTTAACTCAGTTCGAGATTTGGGCTCTAGCAAGCTATATTAAAATAATGTCCGTATTTTATTTGGACAGTAAGAATAAAAGATTAAATTTTAGCCTAAACTTGCATTTCACTGGTAAAAATATTAAATTTAATTAGAAAAATAACTTCTATCTTTTCAACTCTAATTTCTATAAAATTCAATTGAAATATATTGATATACTGTCGTGGGAATGTGTTAAAATTTGACTAGAGCATTGGTCTATGGTTCAATAACAAAGGCCTTAACAACACATTGATACCATTATAATTTATGTATGAATTTGAAGTTCATATAAATAAGGACTTGGCCTTGACACTTGATAAACGTTGAAAAGTAATATAATATTAATCTTATTTATGAAATTGAAACACTTGACTCATTGAAGTAGTTATTATAAAAAAAAAAAACACACCTTTAATAGCCAACAATAAAAAATAATTTCATATTTATAATTGAATTTACTAAAAATAGCTTTATATTCGTAGTTGAATCCATTAAGTTCTATCATCTATCCTTAATCAGTTTGAAGAGTTATTAGGTACACATAAGAAGAGAATAATTAAGTTAGACAATATTTCAACATCATACCATCGTGTACATGTTTTAGAACATGAACTTGGTGCATATGTAGCAGTAATTTAGTGGTTACTTAGTGAGTAGTCTATAAATAGGACTCAGATTTTCTCTTATAAGGACATTTACTCTCACTCTCTTGCAAAACACCTTCTAGATCATTATCATGATTATTTTTAGCTGCATGATGGGAAACATCAAGCACGTGTTATCTTGATCTATATTTTATGTACATTTGTTTTCAAGTTTCTTTAATCATTTATCATTTTTAAGTAGAATTTTCTTTGTTCCTTGTTACACTTTTTGATCTTGTGATTTACAGCAATTTGGTACTAAAGATTCCCTTTAAACATTCTAAGAGGTATCCATCCAACTCTAGAACAATATTGGATAATTGGAAAATTGTATCACCAAAATTTCACCCAAACATTTGTCAATTAATTATAAATTATCATATTATTGAGACTAATAGCTTTTATGATGACTATTTTAAAAGATATATTTAGATTGTTATTTAAATTATTCGTAGTATAAAATCTTAACACATAAAAATAACTAATACAGTGATGCAAACAGAGCAGCATCCTAATATTATTAACCCAAAATAAACAAAAAATTGACTTGCTATAAAATTGTTACTTTATTAACTTTATCTTCTCACCAGATGGTGGAAATCAGAGTGGTAATCGGTAACATTCTCTTGGCATATGATGTTCATTAAAGTTGGATTGGACTAAGTTGGGACTATGGATAGTAGGTCCAGTTATAGAGCACTCTGTTCCTTCTTTTATATTTAATAATGGTTATTATGTTCTAAGTTTTTCTTGAATTGAAAGTTGAGCGGGTATGATTGGTATAGGCTATATTTGTTACAGATGGAGACAAGTTAGGACCAGTGACATGATTCTGTAGTCTCCATAATTAGCCTTAATTATGTCACTTAATGGCAACATACATGAATAAAAAAGAAACTCTATGATCAGTGACATCAACTAATAATGTTCTTATTCGATTTTCAGTCATTGCAAAAGGACAAATATATGAATTTTGCAGAACAGTTTATGTGCTTGCTAGTGCAAGGTATTGATAATGTGGTCCTAAAACCATGTAATGTGATCAATTGGGACCAACGGAGTGGCCAATTGAATGCACAATGCATACATTGAAAGGGAAAAAACAAAAGGGAAATTGTTTCTTCAGTATGCATTGTTGTGTAGCTCTATTGGTTTGTATGCTAATGCTATACAAATGGGCCAAATATTGGAGCTGGTGGCATCCTGAAAATAAAACTTGTTTCTTTCAGTTGGTTTTTACTAGACAACTAATCTATCATAACAACATGACGAAACAGATAATATATGTTGCTACTATTTCATAAGTTTAACTTTTCAAAGAAACAGTCCCACATTCCCTCAAAGAATAGTCCTTTTAAAATTTATAATTAGAACAACACTCATTTTTAACTTATAAAGATCTTGTGAAAAGACATTGTGTGTATAACCAATGCTTTAAAACTTAGACTTGTAAATTTTCCTGCCTTCAGAATTTATTTTATTTTATAATTTAGAGTTGGTTTATCAAGAAGCTTCTAATTTTGGAAAATATTTTTTGATTTGATCTCATGATTCTTTATCTTGTTAAAATAACTTTCTCGTGATTGCTTATCTTAATTCTTATGACAAAGGTGTTATTTCAAATTGCTTATGGAAGCAACAATTTCTTGAGTAAAAATATGAGTCTCGCTCGGTGTGAATGACTTTTAACTTTGGTTTGGCTGACTATAAGAAGACAAGAGTAACCGGTCGCACTAACAAAACTACTCTTAATTTATACTCCATCCATCCCACGTTAAATGTTGCTCTTTTTTAATGTAAAAAAATATTAATTTTGTTTAATTATGCTTTTTGTCTTGTATTTTAACCTATGTATGATTTTAATTACTCACATTTAATTTATCTAGTTTTAGATATGTATAATTTTGACTTCTCTAATTTTAATTGCTCTTGTTTAGTTCCTTAGTTTTTCAAATATACAACTTTTATTTTCCTAATTTTAACTGTTCACATTTTAATATTTTTAATTTTTTAATATTCAAATTAAGTTTTTTATTAAGACTTTCATTATATTTTTTTTAATTATTAAATAAAATTTTGAAATAAAAGACTTAATTTGAATATTTAAAAACTTCGAAAGACTAAATATGAGCAGTTAAAATTTGGAGACCAAAAATTGTACATTTAAAATACTAGAAAGACTAATTACAAACACTTAAAACTAAAGAGATGAAAATCCCACATACTTTAAGGACTAAAAGTGTAGTTAAGCTTTAATTTTATTAATTATTATGATAAAATAAATAAATTAAATTTTATTAAAATACACTCATCAAAAGTGTTGAAGTTATTTTAATAATTAATCCATAACAATTATTTTCAAAATGATAATAAAGTTATTATAGTAGTTAATTAGCAAAAGTTATTTCTAATAAATAAGTATATTATTAAAAATGCTTCTTTAATATTTTAAAATAATAAATAATTTAGAATAAATAAAAAATATTAAAGCATGTTGAAGTGAGAAGTCCATCAGCTAACTTTGTCCATCCATTTGTTGACACGTGTACCTACAAAGGTATGAGGCTGCTCTTGGGTCCTCATTTTACCAACAAAATGTTGGTCTCATGGCTTAGTTCAACCCATAACTGACCTGCAGGAAACTCAAAACAAAAGACAGATCAAATCTGCAATGTCCATGATGCTCATCAAGATGAAGATCTTAGCAGCATCTTCACTTAGGATCAGAAAGGATAGACATAGCTACTGAGACAACAAATCAATATTCCATATGTAAATGCAAGGCTCCAGTTCTGTGTATCTGTTATCTAACAGGTGGCTGTTGTTTAGCTTTTCTCAATACTAATTTAGGGCATGCCTTTTGGACCACTTTTCTATACACTAGCCACATGTTTGTCCAAGTAGTAAGAAAGCAATAACTCATGAGCTTAAATGTAACATTATGAAAATCTAAATTCTTTGGGTTCCCCATGTTTGAACTGAGACTAGTAATTCCTCCTAACACCAAACAATGAAAATATGCACCTAGTTTAATCTTTTTTATATAAATTTTATTATTAATATGTTACTACTAAAACTTAAGGTCCTCTGCTCTTTTTTTCTTCAGTAAGTACAGCTCATTGCAACAAGATTTAATTTATATATGCAATATACGTGTATGGTTTTGAAGAATTTTGTATTAAGGAACACTAATTAAACAATTAAACTTATATGGTAGGTAAGTGTCGTATATGTGATATATATCTTAGAAATGCTGTTCAAAAGGACAAAAAATTAACATTGAGTCTCCATGAAAAAGGAATTTATACAGTGATTAAACAATGATTTCAATTTTCTTCATAAAACAAACGATGTTTTGCAGATTCTTCAAGACGTACGGCATTTCCCTTTGTGCTGCATAATCTAGTACATCTTCATATCATGTATTACTCATTATGGAAAAGCCCTGATCTAAATGACACAATGAACATTCCATGGTAGCAAAAACCAAAAGGGCACATGGATGTGCATTGTGCACACTAATCATAGCTAAAATGAAGTTATTGTCTTTGTGTGAATATGTCGCATTTTGAGCCGTGAGATAAGGGTCATGCGCCTGCATTGTAGGCCAAGAATTAACAGATAAAGGTCTTTGAGATTTCCTTCAATGAAATTATTGACGAAGCAAAAAGCTTTCGGGGCTCAAAGTGATCCGTGAATATATATTGCTAAAATAGCTTTTTGTATTCGATGATGAACACAAGGAATGGGAAGGTCTATGGGGAATAAAAACAAAGTGATGGGGACAAAACACTTTTTGGTTTTAGCTTTTTATTAATTTTTAATAAAAATTTGGAAGATCATTCACATGGACTAATGGGGCTTCTTCCAACTAAAAATTCACATGCACCACAAACTAAAACATCAGCAGCAGCAACAGCAATGAGACATCTCCAATGGGATTATTTCAACTAGAATTGCATCTAATGCATTGCTTGCTCCATGTGAAATCGTAGCCAATTTTTCAAAAAGGATTTTCTACATGCACATCTTCAAATTCTAGAAAGATCCGTGAACCAAAAGCTGTGACTAGCTAGAAATAGAACCACCTCCACCTATGTATAGCACATTTTCTACTAGCATTTGCATTTGTTGCTGAGGGAATGCCGAATCTAATTGTTATTATAGTGAATTAATTCCTCTGTTAATTCCTTCGTGTCCTATAGCATAATGGCTTTCTTCATCTTGAGGAGAATGATATAATGCATCAACTTTCACATGTATCTATATGCTTTTTAACTCACCAAGCTCGTGCATCCGCAGATCAGGGAAATGCATTGCTTACCCTTTTCTTTTCTTTCCTTCTTTTTAATTATAAAAGCATTCCCGAGGAAAAATAAATAAATAATTATATTATGTCTTAAGATGATGTCAAGTAACCGGAAAAAAAAAACTGGGAATTTTATTCGAATTAATAATAAATTTATAATTAAAGCCAGGGTATAATTTGTCATATTATAGGCCTATTTCCATCTCAAAATCATGTCTTTGGATTACTCCAAAAACAAATGTTGGTAGTTGTACGTATATATTTATAATGTAAATCTTAAATAATTTGTACCCTTTTAAGTTTCCTTATTAATACTGCAATAGGACTAGAAAATGACAATGAGACCCTACCATTAACGAGTTGTATAGTATCTAATATACATTACTATAACCTTTTGTGTACGCATTATATCCAGGAGATAGATTGCATATATAAGCATGAAATTGTTAATGTTAATTCATGGATGTTAGTATACTGATTTTATTTACTTTTAGAGTTTTTTTTTAACTTCAGTCACATGTATATAAATATTTGAATAATTTTGAAGTTATGACTTTAGGTGGGTATATATTTTGAAGAAGTAGTCAAGCACATTAACTTGTAGAGATGGGCATAAGCACTGTTTTGGAGGTTGGTGGAGGGTTGAAAAGGAGTCTATATTATAAGTATTTTATTTGGGCCATATTGTGCTGGATAAAGGGATGACCATAGCTTGAAGGCATGAAATTGTTTATCCCATAGTTGGTCGCTACAACATATTCACAAATAATGGATCAGAAACAAACCTAATCATCTTTGTGTGCGTGAAGTTCAAGTTCACGAGAAGACTTTATAGTTCACGAGCACATAACCACAAAAAGACGGCTAAGAAGGTTGTGTGGTACTCCTTTTTCCTCTCTCTCTCTCATGCTCCTTCGTTGTCTCATATAAATTATACCATGTTTTCTGATTTTTGTCACCACAGACAGGTAAAAAGAGTTGCAAACTCAGGCAAATTGGGAATAAAAATTATTATTTATTATAATGAACAGAATTTGTAAGTGTACATGTGAGTTTTTTTTTTCATGTGATCAGTTAAGAGGTACATCTACTTTAAAATAATTGTTGTACTCACGTTACACATTTCAGCAACGATTATATATTTAGCTATAAATTAAAAACAATTAGTAATTATTAACAAAAGCTATTTTTGAAGACTCATTCTCTTATTTTAATTTTAAACAATTTTATAGGTTGTAAACTTTAAATTTACCGCATTCCCGTACCCTTATTATATTATATTCGAGTTACACGTCGTGTCTGTGCATCCTATGTCTTCAGGTTTAGGAAACATGTTATAATTGCATATGTTGGCAATCAAGTTCTGCCTGCTGGGTATGTTTTTTTTTTTTTTTTTTTTTTTTTTTTTGCCGACAAAATATAAGTTTCGTTGATATGAGTTCATGAAAACATGTCCATTTTCTACCAAAAGAAAATTATACATATTTGTGAAAGCATGGAAAAAAAAGGAATCACATACAGGTATAAAAGATACCAGAACTGGTAATGGTTGAATATTATACTATGGTTAAACTGGAGCATTATTAGTTAAGAAAATGCTAATAATTGTCCTTAGTGTACTTATTAAAGAATAAAAAAGTTTTTATATTGAAAGTATATTTAATTCTGTAATCTTAATGCATGCTGACGTTATTTATTATAAAAAAATGAGTATTTTGATCGATGATTGTTAGAAGCAAAAGATCCGGAGGGAATGGGAGTGTGGAAAAGGTTAAGCGAGTCGCAGATAAACACTGTTGATGAAAATGAGGGGTGGCTATCAAGCAGTGGCATTTGTGAAATTATGTGTCTTGCAGTTGTTGACGTTTATTTCAACCAGCACCTCATGTACTGTGTAGAGAAACTCTGGGAGAATGAAGCCAACACATGGAAATAACAGAAACCCATATTTGATGGTTTATCATTGCATATGATAGTCCAATCCACCTCGTGCCCATCATTTTCACCCCAAAAATAAGAAAATTTACAATATGTGTTTTATATAAATAGCTTTGGATTCATGTATTATATCACAAATGTAGTTTGATATTATTGATATAGATAGATTAACCTGATATTTTCAATTAAACAATGTATGTTATCTACTGTTGTCTTCAACATTTTCATTATTCCATTACCCGATCCAACCCTAAATTTGTTTCACTAAATAATCCATTAAACTATTCCATTCCCCAACTCACTCAGATTATGACATATATATGATCTAATGAAAGTGAATTTTCTTGTTCACTTGTTTGATTTTAGTTTACTTTTTCCTATTCAATATATTTTCACTTTTTTTTCTGTTTTTGGGGCCTCAATAGATTTGAGAACCTTATGCACAGAAATTCGTGCAAGAGGAGCATGATATTGTACTTTTTCTTTTGTTTTTATTCATGCGTACAAAAAATGTTGTCTAGCATAAACATGAAAAAATGCTGCAAATCAGTGGGCGTGAGGATGGTTTCTCACAAATCCATCCTTCCAAGTACAATAAATTTATTTATTTATTTTTATTTATTTTGGTCAACAAATTGCTTTATTTTTTATTCATTCACTTAGCAAATTCTCACTTTCGGTTTAATAGGGAAAAGAGGAACAAAAAAAGCTTAATTGGAGGGTCTTTCTGACCACATAGGTATGGCTCATGGCTTAAGAAGACAAAGTGACAGAAGTCTTGGCCCGTGAAGGTTGCACGTGATCGTAAAAGCCTTGTGACAATTAGTGTGCCATTGACACCTTATAGACCCACTCACGTGGATTTTTTTTCTTTTTTTCTTTTTTCTTTTTGGCTTTTGCACCAAATCTTGATTGATTACTTTCAAGCATAATTAATAATTTTAGTTTAATTGGTAATAAAATATAAATATTTAATGTTCTCATAGATTATTAAAGTAAAGTTAAAATTGTTTAAAACATTATACTTAAATTTTGTCCAATCTGTATGAAACAAGCAGGTGAAATGCGATGCATGCCACTTACCATTAACTAAATGTGGAGGGTAGAAATATAAAATGCACATTATGTAGTAAGCTTTTTCTTTGATTAGTCCCATATGGTTAATATTTATGCCTAGTTCCTATCTACCTTTAACTGGTCTTGTTACATAGTTCCATTATGGAATCTTTGTTGCTCTTCACTTTTTATAATTTGAATTAAGCGAGGAAAAATGATGCTATTATTATTGGGTTAAGCTAGGAAAACAAAGGAAAGTTGGACAAGACATGAGGTAGATTTGACCTGAGCCCTGATTCAGTTGGGTAATTATGAAGGGCATGGAATCATGGTTAAAAGTTAAAACACAGTAGTAGCCCCCTTAACTGTGCCTTTGTTAGGTCACATGCAATGACTCTGGGTATGTGGCAAGAAAATAGAAGCTCCACTGCCCCCACTAAACAAATTCTAACCAAAATTCACATAAAGGAAAACAAACTAGTTAATGAAAGATAAAAAAGAAAAAATAGAATGAATCATAAATGTCTAGGATTATCAAGAATATTTTAATGCTTGTATATTTTGCCCGCACAATTATTATTAACCTTGAAGTACTCTCCTTATATAAACATAACCGTCACTTGTTTTTATAGCAATACAAAGAAGCTCTCTTGTTTGTCTCTCTACCCCTCTCTGTTCCCTCCTGAATTTCTACTCACATTTCCACCAAAACTACTAAAATGAAGGGCTTGAGTTTCAGGGGTTTCACATACATGCTTCTCATTGCATTTCTCATTTGGTCTTGCAATTTTGAAGCCTGCATTGCAAGAAGAGGTAAGCATTGGAGTCAAAGCAGAGATGTCTCAGTTTCTCAGTTTAAGAAGAAAGGAAAAACTTATAGCAATGGTCACCACAACAAATACCATGGTGGAGGATCAAAACCAAAACCTCCATCTCATAAAACCACCCCAACATTACCAAAGCCTCCACCATATAAAAGCACTCCCTCACCACCACCAAATGATGATACCCCCCTAACTCCCCCACCAAAAGCTTACAATGGTGGACATTCTTCCACCTTTAATGTGCTAGATTTTGGAGCCAAGGGAGATGGAAAAACTGATGACACAAAGGTAACTCTTTAATCTCATTACACCCACCAAAAGGTTTTAATGTAGCTTCTGCTTACAAGTTAACATGCAAGACCAAGATTTTTCTGTTTTTCAAAGAATTCCTTGTTCCCATTAGAATTCAGGGGAATGCATGACTAAATTATGAAATTTACTCGGAAGGTGAGCACAAGGGGAGCATATTTTATGTTGCTTGGGGCTATAATTTTCTAAAATATTACATTATTCAGTATTCCTCCATTAGAATTTCGGGGAGTGCTCCTAAAGTACTTTCAGAAATGTTATTTATATTTACAAATTAGAGAAAAATAGGAAGAAAAGGGAGAGAAAGTGTGACAAAATATGTTATATGATAAAGGGAAATATAAAAAAAAACATTATTATAAAAATTTATCATGACAATAATATAATTCAAAAGATCTTTTGTCACTTGTACTCGTAGTTAAGCTCATGCAATTACAGAGTATAGCAGCACAGTTATTGTCTAGGAATTACATAAATCTTCAAAACTATAATAATATTGAAATTGCATTTAAAGTTAGAAAATTCAGTTTAAATCCAGCCCATGATTTTATTTTTATTTATTGGTTTTGGTAAAGTCGTCCATGTTAATATTTCAGTAACTTTCAATGATTTGGATTCAGCTAACCAAGTTGATGGTAAAATAATGTCATTAGGAGCATAAACATTTGTTTTCTTTTCGTCTTTTGTGTTTGGGATGTGTTGTCGAGTTAGTAATATTTGTCATTAAAGAAAGTTTACTGAGTCCATTGATTGAGTGCTGAGTAGTGAAAAATACAGAAAAGTGAAGACACGAGAACAAGCGGGGTGGGACCTACTTGAAAAATGATTCTCGTTACGACAGTTAGTTCATATTTCCTACAATACAATTTTTAGTTTATATCACACATAACGGTGGTTAGCTAAGCTTTTCCAAGTAGGACAAGCCTAGTCTGCAATTTATGATCTCAGCTTCACCTGTTCCTTAACATAGCATCTTTTTAACAGTTAGAAAATTTATTTAAAGATTAAAAACATTAAATATGCAAATAAAATAGCTTCACAAGCTACTATTAAATGTTTATTGTGCATATATTTTAGCAAACTCTTGAATTTAGTCCTATCTTTATATTTTTGTAAATTAGTCCTTTTTGACAACATAGTTCAATAAGAAGTTGACATATGATAGCATCAAAGTGAACCATATCAATAAAAATTTGTAAAAATGTAACAAGCATTTGAAGGGGAAAAACAAAAATTTTCCAAAAAAATTTTAAGGATAAATTATTATTAATGTATTTTCATTATTGTTGTTGATGTACCTCTAACCAGCTCTGCATTTTTGTCTTAAAATGTGATGCAGGCCTTTCAAGCTGCATGGGCTGAAGCTTGTAAGGTAGAGGCATCAACCATGGTCATCCCAGCAGAATACGTCTTCTTGGTGGGGCCCATTTCATTCTCGGGCCCATATTGTAAACCCAACATCATTTTCCAGGTAATATATCCACCCAAAGAAAGTAACAGGAGTATAAAAATAAACAGAGAGAGAAAGTTGCAGAGAGTAAAGGAAAGCATCAAGAACAAAAGAAAACTATAAATATAATTTAAAAATATTTATAATTCATTCAGATAAATAAAATATTAATGTTTAAATAAATAAAATTAAAAAATTTTAAAAAGTTAAAAATAACATGAATCATTTTTAAGGAAAAAAAGAGAGAGTTATCTAAATTCTTTTGGCGGACAAATTGACATACGGAGATAAATTTTCGAAAATATATGATAACTGGTACAAATGTAAAGTCTTATATTTTTTTTATATTTAATTAAGTAAATAAATGAGGAACTGATTAAGTAAATCATGCGAATTCAGAAGTTATTCAAATAAACTTCATTTGTAACTGTCAAAGAGGAAAACAAACACTGAAAGTGACTTTAAAAAGTTAAACGATAACAAGACAGTTAAATCTTTAACCAAGAAATGGTACACATGACAGAAAAAAAAAAGCATAAATAAATTGTCTCTTTCAACCACGAATATTCTAATGAATCATATACGACAGGATTAGGTGACCAAGGACAATTATAATGTTTTGTTTGTTAAAGAAGAAAAAAAATAAGCCAATTGTTGCAATTATTTATTTATTTTATTTTTACCTGTGAAAATACATATTTACCATTACATGTGATTGTCCCTTCACATTATGCACACTGTAGCAACCGACAATTCAGTTGTGAGTGATGTTAATAAGGTTATATTATGTCAGCTTGATGGCACCATTGTTGCACCAACAAGTCCCAATGTTTGGAGCAGAGGACTACTACAGTGGTTGGAATTTACTAAGCTTGTGGGTATCACCATTCAAGGTAAAGGTGTCGTTGATGGAAGAGGTTCAGTGTGGTGGCAAGATCATCCATATGATAATCCCATAGATGATGAAGAAAAGCTCATAGTCCCTTTAAACCACTCAGTAGGGAGACCCCCAATGCCGGTAACTTTAATTGTCCTTGCTTTCCACCTCACATACCAACTTTGGATTTGACTTTTTCTAAAGAGAGAAGATGTGTAAGTGAAAAAAGTTAAAAGGGTATATTTACTTTGATTTACAGTTAAGTCATATTTATAAACAATTTTTTTATGACACGTAATAAAAAATCAATGAATAGTAATTTTTTAACTTAAAATCTATAATATTTTATAATTGAATTCTGTATTCTTAATGAATACTTACTACATATTATGTATTCAAATTAGTGATAGATAAAGTTTTATTATTTTTTCCTTTACATATCTTCTGACTTCAGAGGGGTTAAATCTACAATTTTGATACTCATCTGGGCCTAATCATTTGCATTAATGCAATTGTGCTAGATTCAAAGTGAGATGGGAGGAAAAATGCCATTCGTCAAGCCAACTGTGAGGACCATTTTAAACCCTTTTACAAAACCAATTTGATTCATGTCTAGGAGTTATTATTGGAACATAATGAAATTGACCTTTATTATGCACAGGCACTGCGGTTCTATGGGAGTTTTAATCCAACAGTCACAGGCATAACAATTCAAAATAGTCCACAATGCCACCTCAAGTTTGACAACTGTAATGGGGTTCTGGTCCATGATTTGAGCATATCATCTCCTGGTGACAGTCCTAATACAGATGGAATTCACCTTCAGAACTCCAAAGATGTATTGATATATGGCAGCACTTTAGCTTGCGGTAATATTTCAATAAGTTACTGCACATTTCTATTTCATTTGAACACATTCAAAGGGCAATGTAGTAGATGGAGACAAGTTAAAATGAAAAAAAATAAAAATTCAAGACAAAAGAAGAAAACTAAAAGACAAAGTTTAGATGCATGTTCTATGATCCTTAAAAGAGAAAGACATTATCTTATCCTATCTACAGCCAAGTTGAACAAATAGCAACAAAAAATATCCCAATGTTTGTTAGTCATAAGCTACGTGGCACGTGTGGAGCCCAAAATGCACGCTGCATCATCCAATTGTACAGTACACCGTTAATCCATAAACATGAGCATTTGTTTTTGTGTTTCTTCAATCATTCTTGTCTTCATTAGAAAATAGAGCTTTTGCTTTACATCTGAAGCAAGATGAAAACTGCACATCCAGTGGTCCATTACATGCTGAGCCAAAACTTTCTGGGGTACAAGATTGCACATGGGCAAAAAAAACAATAGTAAAACACACTATGTAGACTTACAGACAATAAATAGTCCAAATAGTCCAAGTTGGTTAAGTGTAATTTTTTTATTTCAATAACTGCAGGAGATGACTGTATTTCTATACAAACTGGATGCTCAAACGTATATGTACACAATGTCAACTGTGGACCAGGGCATGGAATCAGCATTGGAGGTCTAGGAAAGGATAACACCAGAGCCTGTGTCTCAAACATTACTGTCAGGGATGTCAACATGCACAACACAATGAATGGTGTCAGAATCAAAACATGGCAGGTAAAATATGAATAATGCATTGTAGTTAGAATTATAAATATTCCTAACTTGAAGATTATAAGATGAATATTTGTTCCACTAGTTAATCAGAAAATTTGACTTCAAGATCATTTAATACTATTAAGTGGTCATTTTTTAAAGAGTCATTAGCCATTTCAATAACATCAGTCATTTTTTAAAACCTTCAACTGCTTTCTACATAATTTTTCAGGTAATGAGAAATTGCCAAACTGAATAGCTATTCTAAGAAGCGGTAAAAATTGTATTTTCTTATGGCCTACAGCCCAATCAATTAGACATTTGCGTGCTGTTATCAATGCTAAATATGATTCAATAAAATGTTGCAAAATGATCATTCAATCCAAGTACTCCCATCACTTTGAACATTAGAACTTGATGGAAAAGTATAATCGTTTACCAACTGAGTAACATGCATATCTGCAGGGTGGATCAGGCTCTGTACAAGGAGTGCTATTCTCAAATATACAAGTTTCTGAAGTTCAACTCCCAATAGTGATTGACCAATTCTACTGTGACAAAAGAAGCTGCCATAACCAAACATCAGCAGTGTCTCTGGCTGGAATCAACTATGAAAGGATAAAGGGAACATACACAGTTAAGCCAGTTCACTTTGCCTGTAGTGATAGCCTACCTTGTGTAGACGTTTCATTAACCACTATTGAGTTAAAACCAATTCAAGAACAATACCATCTATATGATCCTTTCTGCTGGGAGACTTATGGTGAATTAAAAACTCCAACAGTCCCACCAATTGCTTGTCTTCAGATTGGGAAGCCATCAAACAATCGGATTCAGACGGATCATGATTTATGTTGATCAATGTTAGATATAAATTCAAATGGTTAGCCAGCTAGATAAAGTATGTATATTGTAAAAATGCTACTATATAGGAAATTTTCTTCATTAGGGTAACAGTGATTTACCATTGTGAGAGTATACCGGCCCTGCTGTTTGCAAGAGGTCGAGAATAGTATAATAGGCAGCCTTGTAGCTGTGGCATATTGCCTGAGTGTGAGATATTATACCAGTGTTAGCATCTATGAATAAAAATATCCTTATTTATACAATTTCAGAACTAAGGAAATTTAATCAAATGAGAAGACTAAAGAACCTAATATGCTGTAGTTAGTGGTTTAAATTGCAGTCTACAATGCAAGAAAAAAGTAGTCATGCATTAAAACACACACACACACATACAGATGACATCAAACATGAGTAATGCGTATCGGTGTTTCTAGTACAACTCATCTCTCTACCATATAATTACTCTTGAATTTGGTCTTTAGCTTAACTCAATTCCTTTCATAAAAAAAAAGCTTAACTCAATTCCAAAAGTGCTTGTAAGGTGAGCATTGTTTTCGTTTATGGAAGACACAATCTCAATACACTCCCTTATGTTGTAGGATTGATTTTTTTTTTCAATTGCATTAGGAAAACCGTGGGACAAGATAGATTGCACTGAGAAAATCTGTGGAGTCAAGTTGATTTTTTATTTTTTTTTTACAGTCAACGGTAGCTCAATATTTGATTTATACCATCTTGAATTTGGATTTGGGTCTAACTGAACCCCAAAAGTTAGCTTGTAAGATGATGATTAACATAAACTCTAATCATATTTGTAGTCAAGATGGGATCTCAACAATTACAAATTACAGCAGAAAACCCATCAATCATGTGGTTCTTGTTTTTGAAGTAACTCATCCATAATCAATTACTTATCAAAGCACAAAAAGATTCCATCAACCTAAAGTTTTAGTCCTCAACAACTTGTAGCCTTCATTTTCGAAAGGGAGTATGTCAAAACAGTAGAACAAAGCAAAATTGCAATGACTTAATGATTGATGATAAACAGTTAGATCTAACATTTCTCTTCCACTCTTCATCGCTTTCTCGAAATTCAGTTTCAGTGTTGTATTACCACCTCACTCTGGCACCTCAATCTTATGAAAACAACAAAAAGAAATAAGAAATGTACAGTAACATGAAGAAAGAAATAATAGAGCAATAAAAGCAGTCAGTTCCACAACAACAATATGGGATCCAGTGCAAGAACATCTAACCCTACTTGGTTTCTAAATATTTGAAAAATTTACCAGAAAGATTTGTAGAAGCACCAAACTATAAATCTTAGTTTCCCATGCAATGCAAGGGCCCAGATAAACTTCAGAAGTCAACTATTAAGCACTACAGTAGTACACGGTATGGCTAAGTTTTACCTGCCAAAATAATATGATATGACCCTTTGTAACATAAGGAGAGGAGGGGACATATAAAGATGCATATCATTTTTGTGAAGTAAGAAATATAAAAACTAGTTTTTTAACAAACCACATGAGCCTTTGTCCATTCAAAAAGAGGAGGGAACAGAATCATTTGACTTGTCAGAATCAGCAGTTTCAGTGTTTCACATTTTGTAAGGGAATTGGATCCTCTCTGACAGGGTTCTTTGGAGTAAAGGTCTCTGCACATCTGCTAAGTGGGGGAAGCTTTTGATGTAAAGTATATATATATATAAAAATTAGTGGTTCCAAGAATATCAATACTGCAAGAATCTCAGTCCCTGATAGTTGTTGCGCTCAACAAGCATAACCGATGGGGATGGAAACACGCTGCCTGACATGGACATGACTTTTTTAATAAATAAATTAGGTTTGGACCTTAAAAAAATCTGTTTAAGTAAATAAAATAGGCATGTTTATAAAACTTATTAAGCCTGATAGGCTGGTCTGTATATATTATATAATTTTAAAATAAAACTATCAAAATATATTTAAATAATAAAGTTATTTAATAATATATTTTTTATATTCTTATATCTGTTATTATTAAATTAATATATTGTGTTATAATTTTATTTATTTATAATTATAATAAATAGTAATTATATTATATTAAAAATTAAAAATATTTATACATGATTATACATTTTAAATAATAAATTTATTTAATAATAAATTATTATATTTAAATATTTTTAAAAAATAGTTAAGTCTTTGAACAAGAATAAGACGTAATAAAAATTAAACGAAATAAAATTTAAAAATAAAATAATAAAATTATATTAGCATATTTTTTATACTCTTAATTTTATTATTATTAATTTAATTATTTAATTATTATATTAATATATTATGTTATAATTCTTTTTATTTATAATAAATAGAAATTACTTAAATCTGAATTATATTTTATTTGAAAGTAAAAATTTATAAAAAAAATAAAATAAAATAAAATAAAAAAATTATTATAATATATATATATATAACCAGATCATGTAGCAAATAATATAATTATAAATAAATTATATAATAATATATATTTTTATAACTTGCACATGTTTTAATTAAATTATTAATTAATTTATCAATTTATATGTAATATATAAGTATGTGTTTCAATTTATTGTATCAGTAATATTTTTTATATTACATTAATATTATAGTATAGTTAATTTTATATTTATTTGTTAATTTAAAATAACAAATTAATGAAACAAATAAAATTAAATATTTTGTAATTATTTTTTTAATTTAATAGTTATTATTGTTTTCATTTATATATATATATATATATATATAGCACATTAAATTTAAATTTTTTATATTAAGTTTTATCACATATTTTTTAATTAAGATAAAAATTTAGAAATATAAGTTATTTTAATTTAAATATAAATTTTAATAATTCTTTCTATGCTCATATGTTATTTTTCTGTATCTATGAATTTTATAATATAAGTATTTATCATCTATAATTTTTATAATGATGATATTTATTTACTTTTTAAAATATAATAATTTTTTAAGCTGATTTAATAAATTTTGTAAGTGTTATTTTTTGTAATTATTTTTTAATTTAATAGTTATTATTATTGTCATTATCTATATATATATATATTGCATTAAGTTTAAATTTATTTTTTTTAAATATAATAATTTTCTTTTAATTGATTCAACAAACTGTGTGAATGGTATTTTTTTTATCAATTTTATGTATTTATTATGATTTTATTTGTTAAATATAAGATGTTTTTAAATAAACAAAATATATTTCTAAAATAAAACTAAAATATTTACTATTTATATAATTTTAAAAAATAAATCAAGAAAAATATAAATAAATATTTTATTAATATAAAATATTTATAATTAATACTTAAATAATATTTTAAAAATTATTTATAAAATTATATAAATATTATTATAATTATTTAATAATTATTAAGAACATAGAAATTAAAAAAATGTATAAACTAATTTCATAATAAAATATTTATATTTTTATTAATATTAATTTTTTTTTGTAACAGACTTTGTTAACAGGCTTCAGGACAGGTCAAGCCACTTAAACAGGCCAGACCATGCCTAAAATAAAGCTTTTAACAGATAACAGGTCAGGCTCAGGCCTAATAATTATGTTACAAGACAGGTCTGTTTAGAGTAATGTCTGGCCTAACCTGACCTATTTCCATCCCTAGTTACCAAGTGTAAATTATAACTTCGAAGAGATTGAAAGATGATAACTCTACAACTTCCAAAATTGAGAAAAAGAATTATTCGACAAACTTTAAAATTTTTTTTTTTTTATATCATAAGATAAATATAATAATATTTTCACTCTCTTTGTACACGATAAATAAAATTTAATATTTTTCAATTAACTCACTCTTATTTAAATACTACAATTGTGCAGTATTAGAAAAAAATAAAAGCCTAATTCATCGTGATAATTTAATTTTAGAAAATATTTATTAAATTAATATAGTCTAGAAATTAATTACTATGATAGATTAATTCAATAAAAAAAATAGCATTTATAGTATATCATTTAATAAATTTAACATGAAAAAGTACATAAATTAAGTATACTAACTTATAAATAAATATTACACATATTTCAATGAATTAAGTATCTTTAACTCACAATAACAAAAAAAATAAAAATCATAAAACACTTAATTTATTACATTTACTACCGATAAAATTTATTTTATCATACATAACAGTAATATAAATCAAATTATTTTTTATTACAAATATAATATTTTTCATATTTATTACAAATATAATATTTTTCATAAACTAATTAAATATCAATATTAGTTAGCTACTTTTTTTAAATTCAATTGTCATATTAAATTTAAGTTTTATTTACTAAAATAATATGTTATGATAGTATAATAAAAAACTTTAAATATATTTTAAATAAGTTATTTTTTATTAATATTTTTTTCCACATTATTATTTATTTTTGTTTGTCATCCTTCTTTCTTTTTTTTTTTACTAAAAAAAAGGACAGAGAAGAAAAGCGTCACGTAAGTGACCTATCAACAAAGTGTATGTTGCTTTAATTAAAGAAAAAAAAAAGTTAAATGAGTTATAACTCAAAAGTTAAAAATTAGCTTTGAATTAAAAAATTGTGCCTAAATTGTAAAATAAATTGTCACTGAATAAGAAAGAGGATCCATATCTAGTCTTGTTAAAGCAGAACTAGACATTCAATTTTAAATTTGTTTGAACAAATTTAATTTTATTTAAACAAATATAAACTAAACAAAAAATAAAAATAAAAAAAATTCGCTTAAATGAGCTTAAAATTCGCTTAAGCATCTTTCATCCTTCCCGAGCAGCTTCCACTTGCATCCATTTCTCTCTTCTCTAAGTTGATAGAATAGACAAAAATTATGTAGAATTGCAACGGTCTTTCACGTTGCCACAAAGCTGAAATTCTAATAGGAACAAATCAACAAATCTAGTACTGTAATGGAATACCCACTTCGGATTGGTCAAACACCCTGTTAGAGGTAAGAAGAGAAGAATTATAATAATAAGAGGATTTTATTATTTTGTCACATCAAATACATGAATATAATTACTATTTATAATAGTGATATTACAACCTTCAAGTTATATTGAAGAATAATTGCTCCTAATTGCTCCTTAAATATCAAGTAGTTACAAACAAAGAATTATTAATCTTAACTAAGAAATTATGGTCTTTAACTCACACTAACACACATTCACTTCACAACATTTCAATTTGTAACTCATGTAAAACTTTATTCTTAATTATTATTTCTAACATCCTCCCTTAATTAAAAATTCTTAAAAATTCTTCTGCACTCTAAGTCTTTTTCTCAATTTTCTAAAGTCTTCAAACTTAAGTGGTTTGGTAAAAACATCTGCAACTTGATCTTGAGTCTTCACAAAAATTAGCTCCACTTCTTTCTTGGAATGCATGCTCTAATGAAATGATATCTCGTATCTATAGGCTTACTTTGCCCATGAAACACCGGATTCTTGGCAAGCTCTTGTGCGAATTTATTATCAATGTGAATTTAGTACTCTCCTTTCAGCCTTACAAGTAGAAAGTATGACAATAGGTTGCTTTTTAGAGTTCCAAGAAAAAGCACAATCACCCATGAACAACACAAATCTAGTAATGCTCTTTCTTTCAAATAACAAAGAATTCTCTTTGCAGCTTTTAAGTGAGTAGAGGTGTGAGCTTCCATGAAACGACTCACAACTCCAACCGCGTACAAAATATTAGGCCTTGTACTTGTTAAGTACCTTAAGCTTTCCACTAGGCTCTTGAAGATCGTGGGGTCTATCTTTTCTCCATCATCAAACTTCGACAATTTCAATCCACCTTCCATGAGTGTGCTCACAGGATTGCAATCAAACATCTTAAACTTTTCCAAAATTTCCTTTGCATACCTCTCTTGTGAGACAAAAATACCATTCTCCATTTGCTTTACCTCTAATCCTAAGTAATAGAATATAAGTCCCATATTTGTCATCTCAAATTCATAAGACATAACTTTCTTGAAATCTTCAAATAAAAACGGATTATTGCCAGTAAAGATAAGATCATTCACATAAAGGAAAACAAACAAAACATCACGATTATCAAAAGTTTTAACATAAAGGGCATACTCATATTGACAACAGAGAAATCCATTGTCTTGAAAGTATTTATCAATGTGACTGTTCCATTCTCTCGGTGCTTGTTTTAATCCATATAACACCTTCTTCAGCTTCAAGACCTTTTCTTCTTGTCCCTTGACTATAAAGTCCATTGGTTGTTCAACATAAACATTTTCTTCGATATAACCATTCAAAAAGGATGATTTGACATCAAGTTGGAAAATTTTTCATTTCATTTGAGCTACCAATGAAATAAGAAGACGAATTGTCTCCATGCAAGCAACTAGTGCAAACACTTCATCATAATCAACTCCATGTTGTTGCCTATAGCCTTTAGCAATGAGCCTTACTTTGTATCTTTCTACCTCTCCATTGACATTCTTTTTAATCTTGAACACCCATTTTACTCCAATTGCTTTATGATTCTTGGGAAGATTTGATAGTTCCCAAGTGTCATTTTTTTCAATGGCTTTGATTTCTTCCTCCATGGCTTTTCTCTACCTTTGGTTCTTCATAACTTCATCAAAATTCATTGGTTCACTATCAACAAATAAACAAAACAAATCATTTATCATTTCAGTTTCATCATATATTTCTTGGAGACTTCTCATTTTTCTTGATCTTTCACTTGAACTCTCTTTAGAAGATTATGAGATTTCATAAGTTGGTAAAAGAGGTGGAGTAGAAAACTCACTCGGTGGTTGGCCTCCTTCTTGATCTTCTTCTTCAAAGTATGGAAAAAAATCATAAGTGTTGTCTTCTTCCTTCTCCCAGTTCCAAGCTTCTTCTTCATCAAATTCAACGTCTCGACTCACTATTATTTTGCCAGTGCTTAGGTTGTACAGCTTGTAGCCTTTTGAGTTTGCATCATAGCCAATGAACACATATTTCATACTCCAATCATCAATCTTCGATCTTCCTTGGTCTGGTACATGAGCATATGCAATGCTCCCAAAGACTTTAAGATGGTCAACTTTTGACTTCACTCCACTCCATGTTTCTTGTGGTGTTTGATCTTTGACATTTCTTGTAGGAGAGCGATTAGACAAATAAACTGCACAAGTAACAGCTTCGGCCGGCCCAAAATTCCTTGGACATATTTTTAGCTTTTAGCATAGATCTTGCCATATTCAAAATAGTTCTATTTTTCCTCTTTGCTACCCCATTTTGTTGGAGAGTTCTAGGAACCGTTAGAAGGCAACGAATCCCATATTTTTCACAAAATTCATTAAATTCCTTTGACGTGAATTCGCCACCTCTATCGGATCATAGAGCTTTGATTACATAACCACTCACCTTTTTTACAAGTGCTTTAAAATTTTTAAAAGTTACAAATGCCTCATATTTTTTCTTTAAAAAATAAACCCAAGTCATCCTGCTAAAATCATCAATAAAGAACAAAAAATATTTATTTTTACCAAACGAGGCAGGATCGATTGGACCACATACATCGATGTGAACAAGTTAGAGAGGCTCTTTTGCTCTTAATTCGACTTCTTTAGGAAAACTCTTCCTTGTATGCTTGCAAACGAGACATGCTTCACACAATTGATTGGGATGGTTGATGGAAGGCATCCCTTTCACCATCTTCTCATCTCCTAGAGCCTTGAGTGCACCAAAGTTTAAGTGCCTAAATCTCTTATGCCAACACCATGATTCATTTTTGTGCTAGTCTTCAAACATTTAGCTTCAATAGTCTCAATGTTTAAAATGAACATTCTGTTTCTTGACATAAACACCTTGGCAATCAAGTTAGAATTTTGATCTCTAAGCCACAAACAACAATCTTTCATAAGGATTTCATATCCCCTCTCAACAAGTTGTCCCAAACTTAAAATATTACTTTTTAGTTTAGGAACATAATAAACATCCATAATCAGTTTGTGAGTATCATCTTTTAAAGAAATTAAAATGGTACCTTTTCCTTGGATTTGCACCTTGGAAGAAATGCCAAAGGAAACATTCCCTTTCACCTTCTCATCCAACTCCAAAAACTTTTTCCTGTAACCACACATATGATTACTTGCTCCATTGTTAAGATACCATAAGCATTTGTCACACTTCTCTTCATTGTTAAGTGCTAGCAACAATGTTGGCTCTTCATCTTCTGCTTTCTCTCCAATAAAGTTGGCATTCTCTTCAACATTTGTTCTACACTTCCAAGAGTAATGACCATATTTGTGACAATTGAAATATTCAACATTAGATTTATCATACCTCCTTTCATATGGCCTACCAAAATTGTCTCTGCCTTTTCCTTTTCCCCTTCCACGACCTCTAGTAGGTTGATAATCATCTCTATTGTCAAAATTATCACGATCTCCTCTTCCTTGACCATGACCACGTCCCCTTCCTTCCTCCTCTTCTATGTCCTCGTTGATTTTTTTTCTCCTCTATTTTCTTTCAGAGAGACTTTGGTTTTAAGAACTTGCTCCAAAGACTCTTCTTGTCTTTGATTAAATCTCTCTTCATAGGCTTGAAGCAAACCCACCAACTGGTCAACAGACATTGAGTCTAAATCTTTTGACTCTTCAATAGCACAAACCACATAATCAAACTTTGTGGTTAAGGAGTGAAGTATTTTTTTCTACTACATGAACATCTTCCACCTTTTCTCCATATCGCTTCATTTGGTTTACAATAACCATTACTCTATTACCAAAATTTGAAATAGGTTCATATTCATTCATACGCAAGGATTCAAACTCTCCTTGTAGAGTTTGTAAACGCACCTTTTTGACCTTGTCAACCCCTTCAAGGTTCATTTTTAAAATCTCTCAAGCTTCTTTAGAGGTGGTTGCATTAGACACTACCTCAAACATGGCTTCATCTAAGCCTTGATGAATAAATGCAAGTGCTTGTTTATCTTTCTTCTTTTGCTTTATCAAAGCATCTTTCTCATTGTGACAAAACAGCCTTATCTTGAGGCTTATCATAACCTTTCTCTACAATCTCCCAAGTATCTTGAGATCCTAGTAAGGCTTTCATGCGTTGACACCAATTATCATAATTTCCTCAGGTGAGACGTGGAAATTGAAACATATTTAGGCCATTGTTTGCCATCTCTCCACTTTCAAAGTGTTTCACTTAACTCTTGAAGTGTTTCTCTCAACTCTCAAGATTGAATTGAACTCTAATACCACTTTGTTAGAGGTAAAAAGAGAAGAATTATAATAATAAGAGGATTTTATTATTTTGTCACATCAAATTCATGAGTACAATTCACCATTTATAATAGTGACATTACAACCTTTAAGTTACATTGAAGAATAATTGCTCCTTAAATATCAAGTGGTTACAAACAGAGAATTATTACTCTTAACCAAGAAATTGTGGTCTTTAACTCACACTAACACACATTCACTTCACAACTTTTCAATTTGTATATCATGTAAAACTTTATTTTTAATTATTATTTCTAACACACCCCACCCATATCATATCAAATGCATCAAAATCTGAGTATGAATTGAGACTCCTAACAAAAGTGAGTGGGAAAATGATAAGATGGCTCATCACTGCAAATATTGCCTTATCCTTTGAGTTGAGACTGTAGTAGCCGTATGATGATGAATTTCTAAGGTTCTAGCACCACTTTCTGTCCCATTCAAAATCTTTAGGTACAAAGAAGGATGTTTTGGAATTTAAAGAATACAATAATACGAGAGTGTGGAGAAGAGAGGAATAAATAATAGATGTGGGTATTTATTTATACACTGTGAGCACCATGTTTAGTATAACGTTAGAGGATGTAGAGTGAATGGCCATGGAAATGAGCTTTGGGGAGAGAAGATGTTGTATAATTTTAAGATTTATTTTTCATCATTTTTATTTTGTAGTTTAGCTTATATTTGCTTACGCGAGACTAAATTCGCTTAAACAAATTTAAAATTGGACACCTAGTTTTCGCGTTAACTAAACTGGATTCGAATTTTAAGAAAGAGAAGAAAAATGAAATTAAATAGAAGCGAGCATTAAAGAGAAGGAAATGAGAAAGTGAATTTTGTTTGAAATTTTTAATATGTTAGCATTATTTCAGTGTATTATTTTTTTCCTTTTAAAAAGTTAGCTTATTTTTATTATTTTATTATTCACCTTGTTGGTGAGTCTTAATTTTTTGTTAAGAAAACTTGTGTATTTTCCTTAATTTTATATTAGTAAAGAATTTTTACTACACTAGGTCCTATGAATTTTTTCCAAATTAATAATTTTGTGTATTTTGTAGTTTATTATGTTATTCTATGCATGATTGGTAGGTTCCTTAACATTTTGTGAATTCTATTTTAATTGCACAAGAAAAAAAAATCTATATTGCTTACATTTGTTTGTTATTATTTGTTATCTTTCTTCAACAAATTGGCATTATAACTTTTTGGTTAGATTTTGCTTTACATTGTTAAAATAAGTGAAGGTGAATCTTCATCATGATTAAATTGAATCCTACCGATTATTTAATTTGGAAGTCCAAAATGGAGAACTTATTATTTTACAAATATAAAAAAAATGTATGATCCTATCATAGGTTGTACTAAGAATGGAGGTAAAACTAAAGATAACTAGAAGAGAATAAATAAATAAATAAATAGTATGGTGAAGACAAAACAAAAGATGGAAAATGCATAGAGTGGGGTTTTCATATTTGTATTTGGTTGTAAGAAAAGATAAGAATGTTTACATGCATAGATATGAAAAAGGTAACCTCTATTTATAGGCTTAAAAGGGAATATGATAGAGTTTGTGATTGGATACATTTGCATTAGGATAACATATTTTGAGGAGAAATTACGACTTTGATGAATAGCTTATGGGTTATACTTAAAAATTATTATATTTAATAAAATTCCCTCTAATAATTGTATTTATTTTTCCACTATTAGGCCAACCTTATATCTTAGCAATGTACCATTGTTGTGAAAACTATTTAACACATTTATCATGATATAATTACAATAGATGTTCAAGACATGCAAGATTGAAAAAAAAAATGATTGCCAAATTCTCTGCATTTATACTTTGTATGCTTTCACCTCTTTTGTGATACATTTTTTAAAAAGTATATATGGACATAAAGTTATATATTTCATTCAAAAATTTAATTATTATTTTAACATGTATAGTGAAATTTAAAGTATAATAATTTTAACTGTTATTTATAAATGCAAAGAAGCTTTTAACTTTGTTATCTCATGTATACTTCACACATGTACAATTTAAGGCACATACTGGTTTCTTTGTTGGATTGTTAACTCTTGTTCTTTCTATGAAATTGTTCTTGACTATACGGTATAAATAAACATATAATTTTAAAAAAATATGTTACAGGATTAACATTAAATATTATAATTTTAATAAGAAAATTATTTATTAATATTTTAACATGTTTTGTTAAAAACAGATTGAAAATATTATTTTTTTATGGATTAGTTGAATGGGCTTTGGGATGATGCCAACTTATTATTAATACACATTTGAAATTCCAACATGCTTTTAAATCATATTACAACTAACAGTATCACAGAGTAACGTGGATCTGTTGTTAATTAACTGTGGACCAAACACCCTAGATTACATCTTACTTAATTTTTACTATTTAAAAACTATTTTTCACTTAGATCAAATCTACAATAATTTGTGCATAGTCTAAAGTGGCTATATTTAAGTTAAGAGCAATGCAATTAGCGAGTAGTAGTAGCAAATTTGAAATGGATACTTCCTTTGAACACTCAAAGATCACTAATTTTTGTTGTTTTCATTATGATTAATGTTCTTAACATAAGTTATGTGTTGAGTTAATGATATATTTTTATTTTTACTTTTATTGGATGGATTTACGATGTTATTTTATGATGAATCTCTGTTTATCTGCAGAATTTTGCACATGTGTGATTGTATTTTTTATTTTTATTTTACATTTGCATTTGAAATGTGGTGTGAATTGTGTGATACATAGTACCATCTATGGATTTGTAATTTTAGTTACTATGATTATTATTATGTGATTTATTATTTATATTTTTATTTGTTAAAGTTAAATATTAAGCATGGTTTAAAATTATAATTTAATTATATTAATTTTAAAATATATTAAATTATCAATATACTATCATCTTCTTATAGATGAATCATCAAAGAAATCTTGAATTGTATATAGGAATTTAAAGACTTCAAATGGAAAATGTTTATGTTGTATGCTTTGTAGTGTATTACTACATAACTAAAATTCATCCTCAAAGTAAGTGAATATATCGTCCATTAACCTTAGATAAAGAAAGTGTTTGAAAAAAGATAATGAAAGGTCGTAAGATAATACAATTAAGCCATAGGAAGAGACAATAGGCTTTAACCAACATAACAGGTCTCTATTGAAGAACTAGTAGCTAAAACACTTTACATCTTAACACATAATGCTAGTAATCAAGATATTTAATTTTGGTTTCAATGCTTTGGTGGAACTACTAGTCGACATTTTCATCGTGTGCTTCGATCAATAATTGAGTTAGAAAGAAAATATTTCAAACAATCAGATAGGTCACAAATTCTTGTGGAAATTCTTGAAAGTAATCGATTCAACCATTTTTTAAGGTAAAATATATTTTTTATAAAAATTTAAAATATGTATGATAAAACATATATTGATAACAAAATGTTAATGTTAAGATTGTGTTAGAGCAATTGATTGCACACATGTTCGAAAAAAAATGTCATAAACTAAAACTGCAAAATATCATGATAGAAAAGTTTTTTCAACACAAAACATATTGGTTACATGTTCATATAACCTAAGATTTACTTATGTTTTATTTGAATGAGAGGAAACTACATCTAATTCAAGAATATTAAAAGATCCACTACGCAGAACAAATTGTCTTAAAATACATAAAGATAATTAAAAAAAAATTTCTTCTCTCAATGAATACATATATGTTAGTAATAATATTATTTTTCTTAGGTAAATATTATATTCTTGATGCTGGATTCATGTTGAGAAATCACACCATTTAGATCAACTCTTTATCATTTAAAAGAATTTTTCCCTAGAAATCTACCTCGAACACTTCATAAATTATTAAACCATCTCGTAATTGCTCCAAGTTAAGCACACTTAACCTTGGAGTTCTTAAGTGATGGACTACCAAAAAGTAAATGTATTTTGTTGGTATAGGTAGTATTAATCAATTCCTTTTAAGTTATCCTCAACTGTATAGTCTTATACCTATATAGTCTTAGGATTCCTCTCATTCTGATATATGATCGATTCATTCATGTGTCCCTTGTGCTGGAAGCCTGCTAGGAGCCGCTCCTTGTTCATACCTCATTGCACTAGTATTATGTTAATAGTCTTTTCCCTAAACTACTACCTTCAATGGTCATGCAAGGTAAAGGAAAAAAAAACATAAAGCACCTATAAGTCTGTTAATTTAATAACAATTGGAAGAGAACTAAACTTGGTTCACCCAATTCTTTATCTTATTTTTTATCCTATAAGTCCATTTACTACATGTGTTAATGTCGCCTACTATGTAATTATTTATGAAATTCTAAGAAAGGAAAATTCTTAACATATATTATATGCACTAGAATAAAAATCAATCACAAACAAAGACATAAATTATTATTAAATGTAAAGATCACATAAAGTCATGTAAAGGGTTCATCACAGCCCTAGTTATGAGTTTAGTTATTCATCGTAAAGTAAGCAATCAAAACAATTGTAAATAAATTCATAGGTATAAAAGAAAAATACAAACTAGAAAAATCTCCCAAG